ATGAATGCATCTCCAGCTGATCCCTCACCCTTTCAAGATGAAAACTCATTTCCAAAATTTCTTCCATCAAAAGTGGGGACAGACCCCAGATACTCTGGAGTCAAAATACCCAGTCACCACACTTGCCAGTGAAACCCAGCCACTGCTGGGAAGATGGATGAAGAAGGAGTGATTTCTGCATAGAGGCACCAGTTAAACTCCAGGAGGAACGCATCAGAAAATTGCATCCCATTTGTCAGGTGGCCCCGACAGGACTGGGTTCCTCCCTCCCTCAGTCTCCTCTGCAGTCTCCCTGAGAGATGCAACATCCCCCAAGGGACTGGCGCCAGAACCTGAGCTGGGTGCCGAGTTTATTAGAACCGTGTTTGTTTTTTTCTGTTACTGAACATCTAGCAAGTGGTGTATTTTTAATTCAGAATTTCCTCTGATTAAAGGCATTTAGGATTAATCAAGAAGCTTTTTTTTTTGTTCCCTGAAAATCAGGCTTTTTAAAATGACATACCATTGAGCTATTTAGCTATGACCATTTTAATCATAAAAGCAAATCTGAATTTTTGATCATTTCCTTATCAATCACCAGACACTATATTATTTTAAACACTACCAAGCAAGCCCCAGCTCCCTCTCCAAAAACGGGAAAAAGACTGAAGTTACCGGGTAATGAGCTAGAGTGATGGGGGGAAACAGTGGGGTTCAGGGGGATAGAAGAAATCCCCAAGGCATTTTTTACTGTCTCCAAGACACTTGCTGAGGTAGGGACCTAATAAGATTTGGCTGTAGCACCAAGAAGTAGTCATGCACTCCAGTGAGGAGCCTCGCTACCTCTGCACAGCACAGAGCAGCTTCCGGCTACTTCTGCTTCCTAGTTGTCCTATGTAAACATAAGTCCTAACAGACAGCATTTTTAAAAATATAAAGTTGACTTTGATCTCCTTCATTTAAAAGGAAAATGTAGATTTTGCAGTTTTACTTTGATAATATGAGGCTAGGTGTTGAATCCAAATTTCAAAAAAATATGTATCCATCCCAACTTACACAACGGTGTTTTCTATAATAAAAATGTAGTTGGTCACCCTGACTGGTGTGGCTCAGTGGACTGGGCCATTTCTGCAAACCAAAAGGTCTCAGGCCAGATTCCCCATCAGTGCATGTGCCAGGTCCCCATTTCGGGGTGTGAGAGAGGCAGCCCATCATTGTTTCTCTCACACATTGATGTTTCTCTCCCTCTCTTTCTCCCTCCCTTCTCCTCTCTCTAAACATAAACAGATACATAAAATCTTTTTTAAAAAGTATTTGTTCATCTCTGGTGTGGTCCCCATGAGAGAGTACTTACCTTGTGCTTTGCAGGTTCTCTTTTCAGCCATTTATGCTTCTCAAAATAAGTAAATGAATACACTAACATATATAACCCCAAAATAAGACAGATTTTACTTGGATCCAGCTATAAATGGAAACTGAAGCAGATGGGTCACTTAGGCACAAAGTTAATGCTACCAACTTGAATCTGTTTTCTTCATTGTGAAAGAGTTGAAAGAAAAGCGTTATTGTTTTTGGAGAGATTCTTACGCATAATGGTCAAGGAAATAGAATTTAGAAAACTTTATAATTCAGATAGTGTGAAAACTTTGTTAATTTAAATGCCGTTAATTCTCAGTTAATTTTGTTTCAGGCAACGACTGCACTGACATTAATTTTGACATTAGTTTTTCTCGGTGGGTAATAATGCAAGTAATTATAATACACTGATGTGTAAACAAGATTATAAGAGTAATGTTTAAAATCTTAAAAGAATAATTTGGTTTTGAACATCCAGAAGGTCTTCAGAAATAGCTCTTTACATATAAATGTGTGTGCCAAATACGAACAGGCCAAACACAAATTATATTTTTCTAATCTTTCAAGCAGGTCCCCAAAGCAGTGTCTTATGGCAAACTCTGCTCACCTATTTTGAGTTACCCTGAGACCTTAAAAGTAACACATTTCCTCCTAATATATTCCATAATTTAGATGTTTTCAACTGGTCCTCTACTTAGTTTGACGATTGAGGTTTAACATTATAACCAGCCCCACCCTGGGGATTTCTGACTCCGAATGAAAGGTAGATTTGTAAGCCAACTCGATTCTGCTGATTGAGACTTTGTCTGTTTGCACATGTTCTGTTCTAGTGATGGATGTGGTCCAGGCAACGAGCACTGAAGAATAGGTGTTTATTAGGCCTGAGGCATTCCTTAACACTGTTTGCTGAGTGTTGGTGTAAGTTTCTTTAACAAATATTAATTGAGCACCCACTATATACCAGGTTCTAGGAAAATAGAACAGATTTTATGCCTGTCCTTATGGAGCTTGCAGTCTATCTGTAGCACACACACACAACTATATATACATATACAATTACAAGTTGTGATATAGAAGTACTCTGAAGGATGGGAGCAGGGTGCCAAGAGATGCAGCAATAAAGACTTATTGTGGATAGAACTTACAAGTGTTAAGGTCCAGGAGAGCATCAGGGATTTTGACTCTTAGAATAGTATTGCATGAATGGTTCTTAGGCCCTCCTCCCCTTTCATCCTTTGTAACTGTCCAGAATGCCCCAAGGAATTTTGCCTTTGTTGATGCCAATATTTACCTTTCTTAAACAAGACATCATAGATTTACATAGGCCTGACAAATTGCAGTTGTTTGGGCCATGATAATATGGGAGGAAATGTTGCCTAGTGAAAAGGGGACTGGGCTCCTTAGGAAAACCTGAATTCTTCCAAGGGAAGGGGTGAGAGAAGAGGACAGTACCTACACATTTCATTAGGGTTAGAGTGACCTTGATTCTGCTCTGGACTTCCTAATAACTAGCTTATGTCTCAAGAAAAGTCACCTAACTTCCATTGACTCTCATTCTTTTTCCTATAAAATGAGAGAATTAAGATGATGTCATTTCTGAGGTCCTTTTAGATCCAAAGTCCTGAAAGGCTGTATAATATAGTGACAAAAAGTACAGACTCTGGAACAGATTGTGAGGATTTAAATCCCTACTTTGTCACCGATTGACTGTGTGACCCTGGGTAAACTCCTTAACCTCTCTGTGCATCCATTTCCAAAAATGTAAAATGGTGGGTAACATTAGTACCCACCACGTGGTGTTGTGAGTTCAATGCATCTAAGTAGAGTACTGAAAACAGTGCCTGCCTCATGGTAAGCACTTAAGAAATGTTACAGTCATTAATATCCTCTGAAAGGAAGTCATCTCCTTGAAAGATGGGACTCTAATAGATGTAGAGTGTTCAAGACATTGGAGCAAACATAAACACACTAGTGTGGGGAAACTGAGAGTTACAATTTCACAATTCCTACCAAACCTTCCTTTGTTTTAAAGGGGATAACGTTTTATTGCTGGCAGAGGGGCCATAACTGCAGAATGCTGTATTTGATACCCAGAGGGACTCCCTTCTTCCTTAGGACACAGGCAGCTAATTAAGTACTTGGGTAAGCGGCGTGTGCAGGATATTAAACTAGTGCTTGCTTCATAATGTTGTCACACCTGTGGCCAGGGCAACAAAGAAAGAGAGATAAATGTCATTACCAGAGGTGCTGAGAAGTGAGTTGTCTTAGGGCAATGAGTTTTTGTTCTTTTTAAGAAACATAATGAGACCTTGTAAATTAAACGGGAAGGATTTTTCAAATCATGAAAAGTTCTTTAAAATTTATAAGAATTAACTTCAGCTCACTCCTGCCTACATCAGGCTTTCTGTTTTAGTAAAGCTAATACAGAATTGCAATAAACAACACCATAGTCTCTTCATTTCTTAATGAATCCAAATCTCTAAAACCCTATAATTTTTTTCTTTGTACTTTTTTTTTGGAATTTTCTTCAGTGGTAGCACCTGGAATCAGTGAGATTATGATAAATTTTTATTAAATGTTTAATTAATGAAGGATAAATTGAGACTATCTTTTTCTGTGTGTGCCTCTGTGCATGCATACACACATGTTTAACCATGTTACAGCCAAATAAATGAAATGGTAAAATGGTAGCCTTTTCCTATATACTTACTCAGATTCTGGAATGTCTGAAATAGATTAAGAGATTTGCTCGTTCAGGAAAAGAGAAACAAACTAGGATAGTATGATGGAAAGAAAATTGGTTGTGAATCTTGTAAAATATAAAATGTAGCTTTTTGGATAAAAAGAAAAGGAGAAGAAGAAGACAAGAAATTAAGTCTATGCAGAGAGCACCTAGTTCCCTGAAATTTTTCTGGAGGCCAGGGCGCTAAGATTTCTCCTAAATATTCTTTGCATGAATGGATCCCTTTCTGGGGGAAAAGACCCCAAGCGGTTGTCTAGCCAACTGCTCTTAATCCCAACAACACCTTGACCCCACTCCCTGCCAGCTACCAAACCCCGGAGCTTTAACTGAGAACGGCCTCCGACACTTCCCACTGCCCCTCCTTTGTCCCTAGCTGTGTAGTGTCCCCCATTGAGCCTCTTCCCCATCTTCGGTTTCTCCTCCCTCTCCGAAGACTGTTCAGAAGGAGCTCAGTTTTTCCTAAAGAGTAGGAAACAAAAAAGTCTTTATGTGGGAGTCTGTTTAAGAAATAACCGACTGCTGTTTACAAAGGCCCCTTTCATTCTGTTTGCTGGTATGTGCTTCCTGAGCAGCCGCGGGTGGGAGGCTCCATGCAGTCCAGTCAAAGATTGCAACTGCTCATTTCCGAGGCTGGTGGGGGTGGAGAAGGGGACGCTCGCGCGGCCATGGAGACGCTTCCCACCCGTTACTCAGCCTCAGCCACCGGAGAGCCCCGCCTGAAACAGGCCAGCATACATTTTGTTCGCAGAGCGGTTCTTTCTGCCAAATAACTTTTTTGTGGCTTTCCGTGTATAGGAGGTTTTATTTTTCACACAATACCCATATTTAGATATAACCACAGAGCAGAGAAAATAATAGGCATTGCATAGGAAATGGTTTGAACATAAGGTTTGTCTCTGTTGAAGCCACAGCAGGCCAGTGTGTCGCATTTCCTGTGGCAGCCTTCGGGAGGGCGCCCAGAGCGGAGGTCAGCTGTTCGCTGTTCGGAGAGAGCTCCCTCTTGGTCTTGGGTCTTAATTACATAAAGGTCATCGGGCTTCCAGAAGATTTGAATCTAAATTGTGAAGGTAAAGAGAGTTTGACTTAGTGATTTACAACCTTTTTTGAAGCTATGAAATCAAATGATTAGTTTCATATTTTTTCCATATGTGCACAAATATATATGAACACATTTACATTTTTCCAATCCTCATTGGTTCATATACATGTATGTGATTTATATTGCATATGTAGGACTTAAATTTTACTACATGAATTATTTAGATTTAAATGAAAAGACATTTGTTTGTGGGACTTCATAGAACCTTCTTATACTGGGATAATGTTACCACATACCAAGATTAATATGGTAAAAGTTTCACTCTATTTTATTTTAAAAATTTATATTAAAGTAAGCATGGAATAGAATGCAAGATGTATATGAATTCAAGGTAAAAATGGAACTTAACCCTTGCTTGTGATAGGAATGGCCCACAGATTCCCTAGGGGCATAGGTTTACTTTCCTCTTAGCCTCAGCAGACACCCTGAGACACCTCAGTTTAGGACTGGCCATGCAGGTCAGCAGCTATGGGCAGCGAAAATCAGAAAGATCCTCTGCTGAAATATACCTAAATCCCCCACCCCCACCTTTATTCTATAACTATGAATTCATTAATCTTTCCAAGGCTTCTCTTTTTAAAAGCATGTATCTCTTGATAGGTTTAAACAGTTGGTCATCCACATCTTAGTATGAATTTCTTGAAACAACTAGCTTTCTGTTCCAATTGGCTTCACAGACCAAATCAGAAGCTGGCACTTCCTAGTGTAAAGCCACTTATGTTTTGTGGACCAGAAGAACTAGCCAGTTCATGCATCTGAGGCTCAGTTTCCTAATCTGAAGTTAGGAATGATAGCACCTGCTTTGCCGTCATAGTGTAGCTATGAAGTCAAAATGACATGCAATGTTCATGGACGGCCTCTATTAAATTATGAAGTACTATTTAAAAATCGTTATTGCTATTAATAATTTTAGTTGAGACTAGTTAACAGATAAGGAAGGAAGGTATAGGAAGAGGTAATTTTGAAATATAAGACATTTAGGAAGATGAGACCTACAGCATTAGCTGAGTGAGGGACTTTGGTTATCTGAATGTATTACAAATCAGAGGAGAGAAGGAAGGAGAAAGCGGTAGGTAAATGCCGGAAGAAAGTCCTGCTCTGCAATTCAGCAGAGGGACCTTGAGAAAGACCTTTGATTGCCCAAGTTGCTATAAAGGAAAAGTCCATAGATGAGATTCATCTCAAATTATTAGGCAACCTTCATGACACAGACTAGGGAGTTCTGAGTAAAATATTTCTCAAAGCAAAGATCTACCAAAAATGTAGGTAATTGAAGACAAACACTGGATCTGCTTACCTTTCAAAATATGTAGTGGTCTTGTCTGCTTCTCATGCCGCTGCCTGTCATCTCTGGTGTTCATCATCCCAGGGATGGCAGTGGTTGTTAAGCAAGTGCTACGTATGGGGCACTATTCTCACACTGTACGTGAGTCACCTTGTCTCCACAGCAACCCTAAGAACTGGACACCATAATATTCTCACTTTACAGTTGACAGAACTGAGGCTGAGTATTTAAGTAACTTGACCAGTTAGTATATGGCAAAAGATCCAACTGAAACCAGGTAGTGTGACTATAGAACTGTACTGATTCTGTGGCTCCTTGTACTTCTCCCAACCCACAGCGCAGCCATTGTAGGTAAAGGCAGTAATCACAATGTGCAGAAGCCAGGAAGCACTTGGAGTCTCCCCCCTGACAGTCAGAGGATGCTCTCTTTTGGGGGCCACCACTCCACTTCTCTCATGTGAGACTTGACATTGAAGCCTTAAATGTACTTGGAGAGGTGAGGGCAGAGTAGGGCCAAAAAGGAAAAGATTCCAGGGAAGTGATTAGCTGTGTTTTTTAAACTAAATGGGGGTTTGAGAACAGAGAGGTAGGGACATTAAGAACATAAAAGTGTCCATTTTTATTATAAAAAGTGATCTGTAGTGTGTAGTGAGCTCTCAATTCTGGTGTTTGCACTGCTGAGATACACTGAGTTGTTTTGCTGTCGTCCACCCACCGCTGAAATAATCAGTTTGACATTATGTTTGCTTCTAACACCAGGCTTCACCAAGGTGCATTTAAGTTTATTTGGAGGAAGTCATGAAGAGCAAAGCAAAATAGTGGATTTGAGATCTTAACCTTTTAAAATATCCCATCTCTTCCCTTCTAAATAAGACACAGAAATTACAGGCAAAAGTAGATTCATATGTAAGAAAAAAGGCATACGGTTTATCTCTGACTCTTGAATGAGCTTTAGACTAATTTTTTCAGGGGTGGGGGTGCAGTGGGCAGAAACGTAGACCTGAGGTTGGTGTTCCCATGTGCTGCGACCTTGCACAAATCACCACTCACACAGGAGATTGGTGGCTCCAATACCTTTCCCTGTCAGAGATTTCCAATTTTTTAATGATTATTTTTGTTATTCTGTACCAACTCTTATTTTTAAAAAGTCAATATAATAGAGTAACATTTATAATGGTCTAAGTATTCAAATCATCATAAGACAGTCATTTTGAAAAAAAATACTTGGAGACAGGTACCAGATACGTGTACTTCTCTCCTGTCAGCCTTATTCATATGAAATGACTTTTGCTTCTGTCCTGATCAGTGACTCATTGTGTGGGTACCTTTCTTATTCTCCACAACAGTTAGCGGGAAGAGGCCCTTGGAGGCAAATGCAACTGTTTGACTTGAGGCAAGTTGCCAAACACACGTCAGCTGGTCCCTTTTCTTGGACTATTAATTAGGAGAAGAGTCTTCCCTCCTTCCTGGGCTGTGCTGACCTTCTCATTTTTTGTCTCTGACCATTAGCAGTCCTGTTTGGTCAGGTAATTCAATTTGAGTGCATAATCAATCCAGCAACATGGTAAACAATTTTTTCTGGGACCGACTGTCTATTGCTTATCTACAGCTGATGTCATTGAATTACAATCACCATACTTCTTTTCTCTGATCCTTTTCCCAATTTTATAGCATTAAAATTCTTCAAATTGAGATTTTTTTCATAAACCAAGGTCTCTAGTTAGATTAAGACCCACCTACCACTGTATGAATAACAGTAAACAACATGAAACCTTCCAAATCAGTCATATCTGATTCTTTATGTCATTGGCTCACATTATGATTCCACATCATTTAAGTCAGTCTTGATCATGCGACCAGAGATCAAACAAGAACTGAAGTCCAAAGCTGAAGAAAACGATTGGTATCTTTTTTTCAGCTTCTGTTGTCAGCTTTTGTCACATAGTTAAATTAAGTTCCTTGCCTTTCTCGCTGTCACCGGAAACGTTTGTTTACCTTTAAATCTATGACCTGAAGAAGTCATATACTGTGTACTTAGCACTTTGCATTTCTTAGCTAGAGATAAATTATTATTCTTTGTACTTCACTGTTTTATTATTCAAGATTAAACCACAATGCCTTTTACACAGGTATTACAAAGCAAGTTTATAGTCGTGTGTATTTTATTTTCCTGGAGGACTCTTTATGCACCAGATTCTTCTTTATTTTTTTCCTCTAGCTTTATTAAAACATAATTAGCACATAAAACTGTACAAGTTTAACATATAAAATGTAATGATTTAAAACATAATATATTGCAAAATAATTGCCACAATAAAGTTAGTTAATACATCCATCACCTTCCGTAATGATCATTGTGTATGTGTGTGTGCATAGTGAGAAAATTTAAGAGGTTGCCCTCTTAGCATCCTTTGAGTATATAGTACAGTATTGTTAGCTCTAGTCACCATGCTATGCATTAGATTTCCAGGACTTATTCATCATATAACTGGATGTCTGTACCCTTTGACTGACATCTCCTATTTCCCTCACCCCCGGGCCCCTGGCAACCACCATTCTACTCAGAGAAAAATCTTTATTTAACCTAACAGATCACTATATTTCATATTAGTACTATAAAGTCTTTTTTTATTTGTTCTTCTCTCCAGAAAGAAATGTTTAGGTGCCCTTCCTAGATGCTTCCATTATACATGAGCTTTCTTCTCTCTTAACACACAAGATGCCATGTTGAAATTGCCTGTTTGGGCGTTGTCTTCACCTTTAGAGCATAAGCTCCCTGAAAACTGGGTTGTGTCCAGTTCCCTGTTCTGTCCTTGGCTCCCAGCAATGCCTGGCACATTAAGTAGACAAACCCAAAATCTCTTGATTACACTGATATTTGAAAGGAAAGTAGCCACAGAGGGTGGCAAGATTTCTGTTTAATTGCCCAGTTAGATTAAATAAAGCCACCCAGGTGTTTAGGAAGACTGATCTGTTATATAAGGAAGACTAAAAGTTTTTAAAACTAAGTCTTTGGTGTTCTTTGCAAACAACAGGAAGAAAAGATGATTGATCTCCCTTGAAATTAAAATCCTACGGTGTTGTCGTGACACCAAAACAATTCATAGAAATACCAGGTTTCCTCTGAAGTCCCTCTTGGGTGTCTGCCTTTTGCCAGACTTGGAGCTACCACAGTGCCTGGTGTGAACTGAGCCATTGTTTCACAGAAATCATGGACTCTCTTTGTTTGCACTAAACCTTACCTTAGTAATTTTTAAAGACTTTTACTAAAGATTCTGTTTTGTCATTCGTGTGTATGTGGAACATTTATGAATAAGAAGCATTTCATAAGCAAGTGGGATTACTGACATTAGGGTTCTTAGGACCAAATTCTAGGAATTTCGAATGACTTTGTGATGTCAGAGTATTAATTAGACCACTGTAAAATGAACTGGGCTCATTTGCTTAATCAGGAGTTACCTGAATAACAGGCCCATCAAGTAAGCTAGTTTAGGTGCAAGGTTGCTTATTGTTTCTTTTCCAGCTTTTTAAATAGCTTCTGTGGTGGGCCACTGACCTTATTCATCCCATTCCTATCTACCCGCTTTGGTGGGCACAGTTCATAATCCCACGATCGTGGGAAGGAGGGAAAAGATGTGAAGGTGCTAAGAATCCAGAGGCACTCACTAAGCAGCCTTTCAAACACACAAGGCTTCTGAAAATGAACATCAATAAATCACAGAAATCTTTAGCAACTTTAGCAGAATTTGCCTCTTCAAGTAACGCAAAGGGTAAAGAAACAATAACCAGGCATTAGTCACAACTATAAGCCTTATGCGCCTAGAGCCAAAAGTAATTTGGTGTGGGTAAGGTTAATGCCATCCAGGTGCTGAAACTAAATGTAATCCACCTCTCTTTCCTATTCAATTTTGGTTTGGTTTTCATGGAAATATTCTTTAGGATGAGAGAAGACTGAATCCACTTGCCATAGGGACTCCCTCGATCCTTCCATGCTTGGCAGGGTAGAGAGCACAAGGAGGATGTGAGGCTGGCGTTGAGAGGAGAGGCTGGCAGTAGTAATTGACATGGGCTGCTCTGATGACAGTTTGACAGACAAATGAAAAATTTTGTGGAAGATACACTGCCTCTGGAAAATTATTTGCTAGGATGATAATATCTGTTCCCACCAGCCAGAAGAAAATGTATCATCCTAATTTTAAACTCACCAGTAATGAAAGCATCTATCTCCAAGGCTTCCAGAACATGTTCCTGTGCAGACTGCTAATCACCACCTCTGTCTGTGACGTGGCCCATTCATCTTAGCCTCCACCTGCATGACACTGTAAACAACCCTCAGCCAAGCGGATAATGCTCTAACCAGGCGTGAATCGCTCTTCTGGCTCTTTTGTGTGTACTTCCTTTGGTGTATTTTGGTTAGCGCATTGTACAAATATGATTTGAACACTTTTATTTCTCTTCAGCAGAGTCAGTTTTGCTTTATTCCAGGGCCACAAAATGCTTGCCCATCCCTATCTTGCCTTGTCTCTTGGTGATGAGATCTGACTATCCCATCGCCACCATAAACAAAGTGTTTGTGAATGTGAGCCCCCAGTCCTGACCTTACTTAACAAAGGAAATTAGTCATTTTCACAGAAAAGAGGTAGTAAGAAAAGAAACTTCTATTTTCTGGGGTTTTCTAGTGAAAGCACTAGTTCTCAGAGATATAAAAAGTAGCTTATAGTCACCATCTGTGACCTTGGTCAAGTCACCTGCTCTCTCTATTGTTTCTTCATCCGCTAATCTGTTTTTTATTTGCCTCAGAGGTGTTTCCTCAAAACAGTGGACAGTACAGCATGTTATTGAAGGTAACCTTCTACAGTTATAGTTACCATCCTATATTGATGACTTAAAGTTCAATGGAACAAATATGTTTCAGGAGTATAACTTAGAAGTTAGCATCAAATTCCCTAACCTGTATAGGTGAGAATAATATTTAGAGCGTCCAACAGGAAACCTGTTTTAAAGCTAACTTCCTGTAATGTCTTTTTTAAAATTCCAAAGTGTCAAAGCTCTCAAAACCCATCTATGAATAATCAATAGAAGCAAACCCCATTTTGGGAAATGACTCATTTGATAAAGGTATTATAGGCACCTCATTCATTCATTCATTCACTCATTCTGCAAGTACTTATTGCA